CCCCTGCTCTGGCTCCGCTCCCAGCTCTGGGGATGCGACGGAGGCTGGGAAAGGGATTTCGGCAGGATCCGACCCCGGGTTATCTCCAGTAGCTGCTCGCGGCACTGGGACCACAGCAGATGCCGCGGCGAAAGGTCGGGGCAGCTCTCCAGACCCCCAAATTCCTCTGTCGATCCCGGGAAGGAAGGAAAAAAGGGGGAAAAAGCCTCATTGGTATCCCCGAGGCGCCTGGGGGTCCGTGGCCCCGGGAGAGCGTCCCGGGAGGGTCCCGGGTTTTTTGGGGTCAGCACATTCATTTCCCAGCGTGACTCCCAGAAATCCCCCCAAATCCAGGAGTTAGAGTTTATTAAGGAAGGGATGATGTTGGGGTCCGTGAGGGGGTGATGGAGTGGGGATGACGGCAGCAGCGAGGTCATTTTTGGGGGTGTTTTGGGCTGCTGGGGGGTTCCCCTTGCCTGTGTGCCCCTGCTGAGCCACCTCCCCCCCGGGAAATCCCGCCTGGATTGGAAAAGCTCAGCTGGAAAACGCGGATCCCCCGACTGGCGGGGTGGCTTTCCCCACGATTTCCTAGGTGTCACCCCCCCGTCCCCCGAGCCCTGCCTGGGCCGGGTGGGGGTGTCACCGTCCCCGAGCCCTGCCACCCCCCCGTGCTCCCCGTCACCCCCGGGCCGCCCAGCCCCTCCGAACCCAGCGCTCCCAGTGCCCGCCGCGGGGGACGGAGCTCCCCCAGTTAACCGGGGCGCGGCCCCCCCGACCGCAGGAGGAACAGGGAGGGCATTTCATCAGACCCCTCTTTATAACAACAAAAAAATATTAAATTCAACCATATTAACCTTATTTTTTTAATACAGAAGTGCTGCAGCCCCAGGTCCTCAGGGCTTTTCTTCATCCTCAGGACATTTCTGGCCCCCGAGGACTCTTCGCGTGCCCCAGCCCATCACCAGCCTTAGGGTTTCCTTCTGGTTTTCTTCTTCTGGGAGGGGAACGATACAAACCAGCATTTGTTTTTTGCCTCC